TTTCTCAAAATCATATAAAGCCATATTATAACATCGACCGAAATAAAAAATAAAATGAAATATTAAAATCACGATGTATTTCATTATATTGTACAAACGTTTCTAGTTATTTTAAATATATTTAAATTTTTTATATTTAAAATGAAATATATGTTAATATTTGATTATTTTTTTATATACAGAGTTAACAAAAGAAGTGGATTTAGGAAAGTGTATTCCAATTTTATCATCACCAAGTTCAATTTAGAAGTCTTCATAGAAACTTGCTACAAAATCTTTCCTACTTTCTTGGACCTCCAAAACCTGAATCAGATTCTTCGATTTTGAACCAAATCTGTACAGAAATGGGGAGTCCGACACTATGGCCAACCTCCCCCAATTTCACTTCCTTCTCCTTGCCTTCGCTTTCCCCCAACTTACATAATTCATCCACATGTGCCTGTAGAATCGCAGCGAGGGTTCCAGATTTCCGTTTCGGAAGACGAAGCCATCATCAGCTCAATTGCTCTTATCACCAAAACTCATCATCAATGGAGAATGAACAGAAGCCCCCTCAAGAAGCTGTTCTTAAGGCCATTTCAGGTCATTCAATTTTGTATTTTCCTTTTCTTAAATTCTCTACATGATTGTTGCCCGATTTGAAGATTGTGAATTAGATAAATTGTGCAAGTAAATTTTTTCACAGTGGAATTCGTGGTGAGATTAGATAATTATCATTAGGAAGAATCTGAATATGCTTCAATCGTTTTTAGGAGCCATAGATTTTGATGATCTTCGTGAACAATCCATATCAATTTTGTATTAGGTCTGATCTAGAAAATCAAAACTTAGTTCTTTGTTACACAACAGAAAGGGGGTATACTTAACACTTCTTGTTCTTTCTTTTTTCAGTTACCAGGGATCTTAATTCACATACGACTGTCTAAATGCTGAAGATCACAGACCATAGAACTGTTTGTTTATGTATCAACTTCATGTTGTCTTTTGATGTTAATGATGGTCATTGAGGATTTGCAGTTTTTGAGATGATACAAAGTATTTGCATGTTAATTTTTTTTATACAAGTAGGGTTATATCTGCTAAAACTAACAACTAAATATGACTCAGAAGTTTCAAAGGCTGAAGGGAGAGTTGGACAAACTACTAACATGGTTCTTGGAGGCACGATTACTGGTGATTCAACCACTCAATGGCTCGGTCTGAATGAAATGGTAGTGATTATATTTCGGCTCAATGTCAACATGAAACTTCAATTTGAGCTACATTTATCATTCTACCACATCTATGACTTACAAATAAGCATGCGAATTAGGGAAACCCATGTCAATGGTCATTGTGGTATCATGGTTATAACAACTGATGTCGCATAGGGTGCATTTGGTACGTGAGACAGAATGAGAGATGACGGTACAAAAACTTTTTGTCCCCCGTTTGGCACAACATTAGACTAGGACAAAACAAAACTTGAGTAGCACAAAAATGCATTCTTTTTGTCCCACCAAAATAGGTGGAACAATATTGGTAAATTACTTAACTATCCATGTCATATTAAAACCCTAACACTTTCCACAATTCTATCACCCACCTCCAAAAATGCTTTCTGAAAAGAAAGAAGGTCCATTCTCCCACATAGTTCGTTGGTCAAGAGCTCACTGTTGCCCGTCCAGTTTCGTCTGCTTACCAAACACGCCATAAGGAATATATGGGGATTTAAAACGTCCTGTTAGTGTCAAAATCAGTAATGGATACTCGTGTAATACCATGTGCACATCCACGTAGCTTTTGTGTTAGTTTTCGATGGAGATTGATGAGTGATAATAACACTATTTAGGCAATTATGTCTCAGGGACTAATTTGTTAAGACTTAAATAAGGATGATAAGATTGTTAAGATTAGAAAACATAGTTGGCATCATATATAAGACCGTCAAACAAGTTGTCTTGAAATATCCGGTTTTCTTCTCTTTTTTTGCTATAAGATAACTCATTTGACTACAAAACACCAACCAATTCAATGCTTAATTGAACTGCTTATAATTTTAAAATCAAATGATTTTGTATGCTTACATGACAGTTGAACATCTACCCAGCTCCTCGAGGATTTACAGCAATTGGATCTGGAGGTGATGATTTTGTGCAATCTATGGTAATTGCTGTTGAGTCAGTAATTCAACACCGAATCCCACAGGTAAGTCTAAGGGGCTGTTTGATTGGTGTTCAAATAAGTGAGCCGTCTGTATAGATTGGAAAGGTTTTTGTTTGGGAGGGTTTCTTCATAGATGAATGAGCTAGTTCTTTAATTGGGACATACAGGTTTGGAAAAAACTGAATAAGCTACTTTCTATATCATTAAGCCACTACCAAACAGTCATGTATAGCTGACTGAATAAGCTATGAGTTCCATTAAGCTCATTAAGCTGCTAACAAACAAGCCCTAACTTCTGGTGCTGTAGCTTTATAACATATATCCAAAATGCCCTGTCAACGATGCCTAAATGTGGGAAATTTTCTAGAAATAGATGCTATACGAGCTAAGTGGTAGTGTTGATTGAAACTTTGCCAAAAATGGAGATGTTGCATTTATTTTGAGAACCCTCAAAACATTGAACATACCAAGTTAGCTTCTTAAATATCAAGACTTGCCTGAATAATCTCGAGACATTTTGATTATGATAATTGGTTACAAAACTGTTTTCACTTAACTTTTATCGCTACAGGGGCAGGTGAAGCAGAAATTATCATCAGGTGGAAAATATGTGTCGGTGAACATTGGACCTGTTCAAATCGCTTCTAGTAAGCAGGTTGGTTCTCAATCTCGGTCCATATCTTTTCTAAAAAGGCGGAAAAATAGTTTTGCTTTGCTCTCACCATGTGGCTACATATTGAAACTTTCGTGTACTCTATACTTCTTCTCTTTTCCCAGAATAAAAAGCTTCAGATTTTCATTTCTATGAACTCCAAGGTTTGATGATAACAAGAACTATGATTTAGAAGATTATTGGTCCTAGATGTGTAAACAAGATCAAATAAAAGCTTCTAATAGGGCATGGCATGAGTTAGTTATTCATAAGTTGGGACAAAGATGATGCTTCATTCAAAGAAGTTGCATAAAACACAACTGAGAACCTAGTTTTGGTGGAAGTACAAGACTATATGTCATTCCGGACACTTAACATTATTGGAATTCACTCGCAATCGAATGGTTACAGATAGGGTTTCCAGCTTTCAGGCTGGAGTCTCTCGCAGGCCCCTGCCCAAATTGGTTTCACTAAACATAACGCCCCCGGTCCACTCCTTTCTGTTGTATTTAACAGCCACTCAACTTTCACTAACAAACCATGTGTTTTGACCAAAAATACCCTTCCTTATCACTTATTTCCTATACTTCCTAACCGAACAAGCCACCAGTTATAAACCAACCACTTAGTACGAGGCACAACAGTCGTGTGTCAGACACACAATTTAGTAGTAAAAAAAAGAAAATTTTGTGGACCCAAATCAATATCAACTTCTTGTAACGATCATAATCAGCAGAACATATGAGTATAGCTTGGAAATTTTTGCCATGATGGAAACATTGCATTCTTCATTGTGTATCCCAAAAGATGTGTTACGACTCCAGGTCATTCCTGGTCGTCTGGGATTACTCGGTGCGCGTAATCTAGCCCGGAAACCCACGTTTACCCAGAAAAAGACGTCTGTGGGGTGGAGAGAGTAAATGGACGAATAATATGCTATAAGGATTTTATTTGGTGATGAAAGTAAAGTTGTATATATATAAACACAATCTTATAATAGAAGTTAAATATTGTGAAGCTTGAGTGTAAATCACCTTCTTTTGAATGGAACAATGTTAGGTAACATTTGATAGATTCTAACAACACTCAATCACAAGGGAAATACTTGGTGTTTTTGCAGGTTCAAGCTGTATACCATGCTATGCGGAGAGATGTTCGAATGAGATACTTTCTGTAGTGTAGTTTGAAACTATGTATGTAGTATGTATGTATGTATGTATAAACAACTAATCGTCTGGTATTGTTCATATGCTCGTCCATTTGTACCCGATGAATGCTGTTGATCAAACCCTCGAACGATTTTGTGTTGATGAATGAGCAAACTAGGTTTGGTATCATTCCAAGTTGTTGCCTTGTTTGGTTAAAAGTAATGAATAATTGATGTTATTTTTTTATCTTTCATTCATTTTAATCATACGAGTTCGATTTTTATGATCCTCGTGAATGGAGACAACGTTAGGGCCCATCACACAAATAGATCTCAAAGAGGTGTAACATTTGCAAAATAATTAATGAAAACATGTCAAGCATCAACGTAGTACAGTTGATTTTGAAATGATATATTTGTACAGAGTCTGCGAAAGATTCAGTGTCTTTTTCTATACATAAAGTGGTCTTTGAACGTCATTGTCGGGATGTATCAACTTTAATTTGATTGAAAATTACAAAATCTATGAAAATATATGTTAGTAATCTCTATTAATCCTGATGATGGTATAAAAATTGTGTTTTAATAATTTAAAAACGAGAAAAGAAAAGCATAATAATGATATTAATTATATTGTATAGAAAGATATGATACTAACAGGCTGAACCGCCAGACCACCATAACTACGGTGGTTCATCGTCCTAACAAAAACTAGTGCCACCCTTCCCTTCGGTAACATTCCCTGCCGCCGCCGCCGCCGGTATCTCAAAATGCCACAACCGTCCTGCACCATCTTTCAAATTCTTCCGGCACAAAAACTCTTCCGCATAGGCCTTCTCCACCTTCCGATCCACATCGTGCAAAAACACGTGTGTTACGCCCCCCTTTTTCCGATTTCTAGCCATTACAGCCGCCGAGTAAATCGCCCCCATCCTTCCCGGCGCCTCCGCAAACCAACCCCTCGGAGCGTCAATCATTATAATATCCCACTCCTTATCATACACCACATCCGGCAACCCTGTCAGTGCTAACTTGCACCGCGTGTTCCCTCGGAGGTAAGATTTGCTCGGAGCACATTCAGGTTCCGATCGATATGTGTTCATAAGTTGGTCGGCTTGAGAAAGACGTGTCCGGTACTTAACGGTAACCGCTTTGAGATCCGGTGCGTCTTTGATAACCGAATGGACCCACTTGGGATCTTCTTCTAGGAATAAAGTTACGCCGCCGGGATTAAGCGACGCCCACATGAGAGAATCATGGCCGAGACCGAAAACGAGGAAGTTGCAGGGAGCGATGGATTTAAGAACGTTGAAGGAGATGGAGATCTCGTCGACCGATTGTTGGGGGACGGTTTTGGAGGTGGCGTAGTGGAGAATGGCCCGGAGTTGCAACGTGGCCGCCGCGGATTGGAAGTTGTCGAAGGATCCGGTGCAGATGAGGTGGGTGGTGTCATCGCCGAGGAAGGTGAAGACGACGAGGCCGGCGCCGATGAGAGCAAGGAGACAGAATGCGATGAAGATTTTCCGGTCAGGGAGGGGTCGTAGATTCATGCTGTTTTTTTTATTATCTTTTTCTTTTTTCTTTTTTTTTTTGGGGTTTGTTTTGACGAAGAGAAAAACACGAAACACAAATGGTTTCTGGTTTTGAAGATTCAAGTATTGAGTGGTGATGTTGGTATTGATGTTGACGGTGGTGGTGTGCCACATGGCATTCATATATTGGTTGGAAATGTCAAGCTTCATTGACCAATATACCCCTAGCACAAATATTCCATATAATAATAAATGATACTTTTTATAATAAATAAAATAAAACTAATATTAATGAATTGCTTTGAAAATTGGTTTATGTCAAAAAATATATATATATAATTTTGAAAATACAATATTAATATAAAAATAATTTTTAGTTATTGATTGAATTTTTAAAAAAGGAAAAACAATTTAATAATCCTAAATTAATATTACCAACCAGTAATTAATGGAATAGTTGAGAGTCAAAACTCGTTTTACATATTATTCCAAGTTGATTAGGGAATTTATGTATTTATTATTATATTATATTTTTACATTTTATTATATATATATATATATATAGAGGGAGAGAGAGAGAGAGATAAACTTTATTTTGAGAAATGTTAAATATTTGAAAAGTAAGAAGTGATCCTAGTTTCATATGGTCAAGATCGAATTTGATTGGTCAATAATTATGGCTATGCGAAAAATAAAGAGAGTAGTTTCATGACTTTTTTACAAATAGACAGCAAACGAGTTCATATATGAACATATGTGATTACTAAGTAACTGATTCGCATATGAACACTTGTGATTCACATATGACTAATTAACTAATTTATATATGAATTTATGGGTTCATATATAAATCAGTTAAATAGTTGATGTATAAACATATGTGTATCACAAGTGTTGTGGTTCCTAAACTCATAATTGAATAAAGAAAAATAAAAGTTATAAATCATATAATAAATACTTTTTATATTTTTTAATGTTCAAAAGTCATATATTATGGTAACCATGGAATATAATTGCTTTTTTTTATAAAAGTTTGTTACGTATTATTCTTGTTTTTTTATAAAAAGTTTGTAACCGATAATAATCAGTTCAATTTTAAAGCTCACATTGTTAACGTGAGTCTCAAATTAACCTCTTTATGTTACTCATTGTTGTGTATTATTATTATTTTTAATCTGGATATCCAACCCGTTATGCGAGTTGACTAATCTCAGGGCGACCACCTGCTTTGCTGATAGCCCGGAGTCACCACATTTGAACTTCCGTGATCACAAGGGGATTTTTATTCCTCCTTAGATTTGAATTTGAGACCCCCTGCTACTTTTGATTTTTAGAATCAAGCTCAAACCAATCAGATATCACCCTTATGGTTCATTATTGTATATTATTAAGTTAACATCATATAGCTTTTTTTTTTTACCAACAGTTATATTTACAGGATTATATATATATAATTAAATATAAAAAAACACTTATTTTATATTATTTATTGCATCTTTACATCTAATTTTCGTTTTGTATTTAAATAAATATAATGGTATGCGACTTTATATACCAAAGTAAACAATATAGGGAAAAGCTAACTTTCCTATTTTAAATTATTAAATTTTTGCATTATTTTTTTAAATGAAAAACTATTAAATCTCATTTTAAATGACTAAATCCGTTAACAATTTTTTTAATAAAAAAACCATTTTATAAAGCATTTGATAAAAACTCTTAAAAACCATTTTTATGCATGAAATATTGTATATTGATACATATTACTTAAAATTCAAGACTACAAGTAAATTATGCATAAATACAATTTATTAAATCTCCATGTTTGAATTCATGTAACTAACTGCGAATAAACATAATCAAATAAAGGATAAACATCTCATTTTAAAATATAAAAAATCTAAAAGTATAATTAGAATAATTATCGAGTTCTAATAAAATAATTAATTATTATCTTTATAGGAAAATCATATTATTAAACCAAATATAAATTACTTCGTTATTGAACGTAAATTAAATTATAATTAAAAATTACACAAAAAATGATGAATTTTAACTAGTTAATATGATACTAATATCGATATATTTTTGTCAAAATTTTATGATATATTCAAATTTATATTTTATTCAAAAATAAAAATATTATCGTTTTTTCTTAATCACATAAGACCATGTTATAATATCGATTGAGATAAAGAATAAAATGAAATATTAAAATCAAGACGTATCTCGCTGCATTGCGCGAGTATCCTTCTAGTTTCAAATAATGTGCGTTCTTTCACAAATTCAATATTTATAAAATATTAAATTTAAACTTAGAAGTAAACACCATCTTTTCAAGAATCAGTTACTATACGAATTAATTTTAAGCCAATAATAAAATTAATTGTATCCTAAATTAGTGGAATTGATTGAATAAGAGGACACATGTGAATCAATGGGTATAATTGAACTGTTAATGTAAATTGTGTCTAGATATTTTAAATGAGTCTAATTGAATCACTAATGTAAATTGTATATATATTCAAATGAGTATAATTGAACCATTAATGTAAATTGTGTCTAGATTAAAGATGATCAAAGGTTCAAATACATTCTCACATTTTTCATATTAACTCTCTTTCTCATACGATCGTTCGCCTACATATAACTCCAACAGTTACTATATTTTAGAGATTATAACATTAATTATATTATTAAAATATTCAATAAATTTAATAAAATATTATTTATCTCTCTTAAACATTTAATTTCAATTCCTCTTAATGGTGCAGAAGATTAAATATATGTTTTTCTCTTTTACTTCAAATTTGAAGATTTTCATATGATCTCTCATCTTTTTTGCTATTTTAGCATACCCGATACAACAAAAAAATATATTTTAAAATCATTAAAATCTTTATTTTAACATAGTTGTTGAAGATGTTTTTACTTCTTCCTTCTAAAATATGTATCAACAATGAAAAATCTATACATTTTTAAACATATGTAATTATTACAGTTTTAAATAAGTAGATACCAATTTCATTCTTAGAGGTTGTTTGTTTACCTCTTAACAGTTCCATTAAAAGACAACCTATGTATCATCGAGAGATGAATCTTGTTTAGCAAAAAAAAAAAATATACCTCTTAATGGTTCTAAAACCCTCCGAATGGTTTTGTATCATGAGTCTTCCTTAACCATTAAGCGTCCTAATTTTATTGTAAACAATTACTAAACAATTATATTTCATTTTTCACTATATCATGAGAGCCTCTTAATCATTCTAACCACTTAATCATTCAACACCAAATCATTCAGCAACTTCCAAACAGCCCCTTAGATTTATTTCATTTTTATAGTTTATAATTAATTGTTATTTTTATTCCAATCTTTATAATATATAATTTTCATTATTTTACTTCTTTTATTTAAAGATAGAAATTAATTAACGACTGAAATAACAATAAATTAAAAACCATAATTTCTTACACAAAATTACAATTATTAACAAGCGCTTTAGAAACGAAAATCATAATTTACTTAAAAATAAAATTTTCATATATTGGGGAAGGATAGAATACTTTAATCTAAAACATCATTATCATGAGGCTTCACTCCCTAAAACGTGTACCTCCGTGAATGAATCTTGTTGGTAGGATTAAATCAATGTGGGCCATTGATTTAACCTTTGACATCCACCCATTTGAGAGTCTACACTAGTTACGACAAATGCCTTCCCATCTTATCCTACCCTTTCGTCTTTTTCTCGCTTCTCACAAAATGATACAAATATACCATTATCGGGTGACAATTAAAACCCGACAAATTTAAATTTGTTTGGTCATTTTAGAAACATTTTATTTATCAACAAACTTCAAATTCTAAAATACGTTTCTAACGATTAAACCAACGAAATCCAATATATCTGATTTAACTGAGTGTTGTTATATGTACTGGTATATAAATCATAATCAAATATTGAAAATTCAAAAAGAAACTTTTGATATATTAACATGTGTGGTTGCATTTAGTGTACCCTAGTGGAATTTGTGGATGAAATGTATATTGGTATGTATTTGTTTTAAATAGTTAGTCTAATTGGATGTTGTTATAAATTTTTTGCTAAAAACGCTTGCGGAAAGGCTAAAGAAGGTTATTGGGAGCTTAGTTGGGGAGGTTTAAAACGCCTTTTTGGAAGGGAAGATTTATTCTTGACGGCGTGTTAATTGCAGATGCCATGATGACCTTCGCAAAAAAGGAAGCAAAAAATTTGGCGATTTTCAAAGTAGACTTTGAGAAGGCTTTCGACTGTATTGGGACATCATGATTCTCATGGGTTTTGGTGGGAAATGGATTCGTTTGATTCAGGCTTGCTTAAAATCAACGATTGTTTCTATCCTTGTCAATGGCTCTATGAATTTAGAGCTTAAAATGCAAAGGGGGTGTACATAAGGGATCCCTTATCTCCCTTCTTATTTCTTATCTTGTCATTTAATTACCTTGTGTTGGTCCCAAATGGGATGACAAGAAACATAAATAATTGTAGAAGAGGGGGGTTGAATACAATTACACAGACTTTTTTCAACCTTTTCAATTCTTATTGATGCATATCAAGAACTAACACACATAAATACAATATAGATTGTTGCGGAAAAAGGAAAGGATAACCTAACCTAAATAATCTTACAAAGATACTAATAACTACTAAGTATTGATAGGATATAATAACAGATCAGTAGGTCGTCACCAAATCAATAGGTGACCCAACACCTTGGCTTACTGATTGGAGAAAACATGAGAAAGATCAGTAGGTGACCCAACACCTTGTGTATGCATCATAATAGTTTATAATTGCATTTTTCGTTGTGTTTAGTCATTTTCATATACTTTTTTATTTATTTATAGTTAAACTAGTTTAATAGTCGATAGCGTATATTGCTTTTGTATTTGTATGGTTTTCTCGTGTTTTGACATGTACTTTGTGTTGAAACGTGAACATGGATGAGATGAGCCTTGGAGCATTTAATCAACCTTCATGTGATGGAGCAATTCAAGAAATATGACAAAGTTGGACCAAAATTTAAATAATAAAAATCAGCAAAGAAAGTTTCAAAAGAAAAGAAATCAAAAAGTGTGGATGTTGAAAGAGAAGTAAAGATGAAGGGGTTGATTTGAAAATTTCAATTAATAAATATAAACTTTTCTTTAGGTTTAAGATCTCATGTTTCTTACTCCCCACGGCCGGTGGGCCGTTTCTCCTTTGTTTTATTAGTTTTATTACCAAATGGTAACCCTTACCAAGTTACATTACTTCACCGACGACTAAGAATCTTATCCGAAAGTGAGGGCGACGATTCTTACTATGGTAAGTGCTTAATGGGTAAATTGTTGCATACAATGTCGTTTTAATGGACTAAAATCATACCCGATAAGTAAATGATAATGTTAAATTTTACCGGTAAGCACTTACTGGGTAAGTGTTCGGTAAACGGCCCCTTACTTTCATGTTCCTTAGGGTAGCTTTTGTTTGTTGGTTTGAATTAGACCAATTAATTTTAAAATGGACATTATATTTTAACCGACGAAACTTGTTATGTAGTTAATTGATTATTGTATTGTTTGTTTAGTTAAAATCCAGACGAATGTTTGATTCTCGACTTAGACCGAATTGGTTGATGACTACGGTCTTAACATAAAAATAGTTAACGATGTAAGCCGAGAAAATATTTGTTTTATCAAAATTCTTCTTTTCAATGTATGTATCCTACGAAAGTCGGTGCAAATACCGTTTCAGAAAAGCTTTTCCACCTCGATAGAGGGTTAAAGTATTTTACATAACGAATACCCATCATCTCTATAATTTGAGACCAATATTACCAGATCTTTGTAAGTTTTCTTTTTTTAGGTCTCATCATTATTTTTTAGTATATTTTAGAGGGTGTTTGGAATTACTTATTTGAAACAACTTATGCTTTTCTACAAAAACATTTATTAACTTATTATAAGTTATAAGGGTTTAACTTTTTCAAAAACTCCTTATTACCGATTTGGCACCGATATAAGTTATTTATCCAAACACTCAAAAGTGTTTGTTACCGGCGCCACACCAGAATAAGTCAATAAGTTGTTTTTACAAGCAATCCCAATCACCTCTCTAGAGTTGATTTCCCGTAGCTAGGCCATAGTCTAGAACGACTCCATGTTTAGTCCATCGTGTCCTCGTGATTAGTGGCGTTTCAAGACCTTTAGGGATGTGTCGTGGGTTAGGATTATCGAAGCATTTTTGGGGAGGGGGAATTGGGAACGATGGTTTCTCAAGCTTGCTTGTTATTAGAAGAGGTGGCTCGATGGGAGCATGGGGAGGTATCTTGAAAGTGGGTCACGACTTGGGAGAATCTTGGGGTGCCTTGCTCGGATTCTTTCGGAAAGCAGATGGGAAATGGACGAAACACTTTTTTTTAGGCTTTGCAAGACTCCGAGATTATTTAGGCCTTGTTTGTTTTTTTTAATGAAAAAACCTCTTATTAGCTTCTTATATCTGATTCGTTAAGAGGTAAAACTGTTCAGATTGTTTGGTATTTTTTACATGCCTTTTCTCTTATATTTGCATTTAAATTACTTGAAAAATTAACCATGTAAAAAATAATTATTTATAAGATCTCACTTTGGTTGGGAGGAGAACAAATGTTGCATTCTAATACGTGTTTTAAAACCGTGGATCCAGGTGTGAATAAAGTTGTCTTATAAAGGACAATATCAGGTATGGTTAGCCTACGATGTTACATTATTGTCGTTGATGTGTATGAGGAGAAAATTTGTAAGGGAGGTGCATTTAGCAAATATATAGGTGTAAATTTAACATAAAAACACTAAATATGGAATAAGACTAGAAATATTATAAATAAAAGGGAGGGGAGGGGGCGGGGGGGTTTCAGTCATGTTTTGGAACCTCCATTTGGACACAGAATGGATATATAATTGGAATAACAATAATCTAATTAACTAAACAACATACCTGCGTAGCTGGCTTTATTGAAAAGTATCTCACAAGGGCTTCAAGATTTCATCCATCGGATTCCCGTATTGAATTCCATTCCATGGTTTGAGAATGCTATGAGATTCTTGATCAACCTGCTGCCAGTACTCGAATGGTAAACCCATATTTGTTGTATGCATGAAATCTGGTTCACATGATGAACCCCACCAATTGTTTGACAGAAGAGAGAGAGCACGACCAACATCAACTGATTCTACTGCATATTATCACAAACAAACCCATTCAATATATAATTCATTTTTATCCCATCCATTCTAATTAAATCCAACTGCTATCCAATCTGGAGAGTGGAGACTTCAGCTATCCTATGTGCTATAAACAATACCATAAAACAAGGAAACAGAAAAGGTATATATATATATATATAGTGTTGTATACTTGAGGGGCTACTTCTGTCATCTCTTGTATAGTTAAGATAAGTATAAATATCTTTTCTGTTTCCTTGTATTCTATCATCATCACCATCAATGGCTTCCTGAATCCATTGTTTATAACATGGTATTATAGTCAACGTCTACCACTCTAGTGATTCGACACTTTACGACAATTTGTGCTCATCTAGCCCCCTCTCGACACTCTGGGCGTTGGTGGTGGCTTGTTAGAGTCCCACATCGGCTATTATTTCCCATCTATATATGTTGAAACCTCCTCAAAGGCCCTTTTGGAGAGTAATGTAATGAGGTTCCACATATTCTATCACTATAGTTGATAGCTCTTAGTTTCTGTACAAATAAATATGTTGGATTGCAGCATATTGACACCATCATTAATTTCTTGTAAGGAGAGTTTTTTCAAACTGGTCTGTATATGGAAAGCAGGGAAAACAAACCTTGATCAAAGACATTGGCCGTGGCGCCCTTGGATGGCATAATCCCATTTACAGCAAGACTAGGCATGTTGACAGCATTCGGGAACTGACCAACAGAATGAGTTAGCCCGTCATGCCCTCCAAGTTTTTCAGCTTTCACTGTCGCTACCAAAGGTTTCGAATTGCATGTGCTTTCCCAAATAGAACTACCACCAGGTTTAGTTTGAACCAGAGGAACATTGTTAAACACAAAACTCAATTGCTGTTGCCCATCTGCAAATGCAAAAGCATACGGACCACAATAAATGAAAGGGTACATCTTAAAGAACATATTACAGGTGAGGCGGCGATGAGGACCATAAATATATTGAGAACCTGGAAACCAACTATTTATGTATTATTCGTGATACGAAAATTGTTCATGATGAAAATGCATGATGTTCATGAGGAAAATACAGTATATTCATGATAGAAATGTAGGTTCATTTAGGGATATGACCTTAAATGAACTTTTAATTAAAGACCTCCTGGCCTATCAAAGAAAAATGGCTTTATACTCATGAGAAGGTGATGGATTTAATTAAAATCTCATTTAATGTATGATATCATGAATAATGAAAATGTATGCTCTTTATGATGGATAATATTTCATGAATATTTAGGGTTATTCATCATGAATAATACATGAAATAGTTGGTTCCAGGTTCTAAAAATATTTAGGCTTTGAGATTTAAGATGACATCGAAAATGTCTGCTAAAGTACATTCTCGGTATATATGACAATATTGAGATGTTAAACCCCCAAAAGCCGTTGACAAGAAATTGGCTCCAAGTATAAACTGAATTGACTACCATAAAATGATGAAGACGGGCTTGTGGAGTTAAACTGGATCGTTTCCTGCTGTGGCTTACGACGTCGTGCATTGTGATCGGAAAGCCGTCTGCGACAGCTCCGCTTCTTCCCATCAAACTCTGACAAACTGTGAAATCTGTATCATTCATTGAAAAGCAATTTATCAGTTGACAATGATCAATAAAGTGAAAAACCAGAGGCCATCGCAGATCAAGGGAAGACCCAAGAGGAACCAGCAAATATTTAGAAATTTCAAGTCTGTGACATGTAACTGCGAATTCCAAACAAAGCTTACCGGCTACATTGTTGGCAGAACCGACGATCAAGACCACCCACAACAACTTTTAAGGATTTTGAATGACTTTCACAAACTCTATGTTTACGATGGTATTCCTTGGCAGATGTGAGATCAAGGTTGCATCCTTCAACCTGACATCGTGGAATAGGCGTACTTTGGCAAGATAATTTAAGTTTTTTCACCGTGGATACAGAGGATGCAGGAATATTTGGGGAAGAACATGTTTTGGTATTTCCCCTGGCAAAACTGTTCTCAAAATATGTTCGTTTACCAAGCTTCAAACCGATGGACTGGTCGGAAGAGCAAACTGAAGCCTCCAATGATGGAGAAGTTCCATTTAGCTCACCTCCGGTAAACTCCTTACTGAAAGCATCAGGGAAACCTCCAGCTCCCTCAAATGGGAAATTTGACACTTTCATGCCGTCCTTGAACGAAGATTCAGTTGAAGCTGATATCGAGCTCTTCGCTGATGAATTGTTCCCAACATCAGAGGCAGAACCTCCGCTTCCACCAACAACCCCTGACAGATTAAAAGACACATCGATGTCTTCCCCCTCTTTGATTCCCCAATCTGGCGATTGTAGCTTCTTGGGACTTGCAACCCCTTTTGAACTGAAAAGATCGAGGTTTTCCCAGTCCCACTTTGTATTCCAGTCCATATCTGGAAAACGATTTTCTTCACACTTTAGAAATTGCAAGGAGTTTCTATTCGAGAAGCCATTACAAAATGTACACTTTTTCTCTCTATCTTGGAAGATATATAAAAGCTAACATCTTTATCAATGGACGGAAAGTATAAAGGGCCCAATTCCCCCACAATATAAAGTTATGCAAAGATATCAAAAGATATTCAGTTCAATAAGTCAAGTGAAAGTGCAAAAACAGTCATGTCCAAGCAACCATTTCACAGAAACAAGAAAACTCCAACCCTATAAAAGTTAAAGTTTGCTTGACTTTTTGCTTCCACCAATTTATTTCATCTCTCTCAGTACATGCATCCTAGATAACAAACACATAAATTTCCCACAGAGAATCAAAAGAAGGCGACCATATATATAGAATATAGAATAGATGGTAAATGTAGCCTCGCTTTCTACAAACACTATGGTGAAATACCTTATAAAAACTAACAGATTCTTCACAGGGCAGAGATCCAAATAGTTAGTATCACATAAACCCACTAAGTTAAACAGTAGATCCGTAAGACCTCAATAGTCTTGTGGGTTTGGTGAAAGCAAAATACGATGTTTGTCATACACTCTGAGAAGTTCACCCAATCACTAGTAGCAGCAATGAAGCATTAGTAGATTCCAATGTAGTCAATGAATGCTAAGCGGAACAGATCGGTCGGACTGATGGAAGAGTCTCTAATTTAGGGATCTAAAACTGGAGAACAAAAACTAACCAAATAACATTTAATGGCTCTCCCCCTTTCACGTAACAACGAAGAAGCTCATTTGGGAGGGAACTAATACTTAGCAACAAAATTACACTACACCAGAGAGATTATAATCTGAAAAACAACAACTGAACCATTAAAAAGTTACTTTTGCTTTTCCCCCAAAATCATCAACCCGTATTAAATTCAATGGAAATAATGGTCCCCCATCACAACTAGAAAGCCTTTAGGACCTAATAAACGTGAAAAAATGACATCGTTTGGCGTCGATGTGTATTATTGATTGCTCCCTTCATGATGTAGAAACGTCATTTTCCCGGTGAAGAAAGTGATGAAGAGAAAAAGGGAGGGGGGGAGGAAATCATACATTTACCAAAGCACAGCAAACCAATACCTCGAAATTCATTTCTAAAAAAATAAATGAAATGAAATGATTCACAGCTTCGAGTATTCATCAGATCAACGTTGAAGGCTTCGAAAACAAACACTTGCAAAATCGGAAACAACTTGCAGAAAATCAGACACCAAAAAGCTATGGTTTATGTAATCAAAAATCCAAAAAAATCACATCACAACTCGACTAAAACAGAAATCAGAAGTAAGAAATCAGGTTCATAGTACAGGTATTTTGATTTTTACAGAAAAATAAAAGAAAATGAAAAGATTTCTTGTTTAGGAAGTTGTATATAATAGAGTAATGAGAGCTTACCGATCACAGTAGTCTGCAACATTCCAGGAAAAATGAAGGAAAATCTGAAGATTTTTACTTTACCAAATGAAGAAAGTTAGAGAGAGAAAGAAAAGCATCAAGAGAGAGAAAGTGTGTTTGTGTGTGTAGCAATGAAATCCCCTTAACATATGAACTCGACAAGATAATAAAACGAATATGGTAATAAAAATTAATTTCTTTTTATTTTATTTCAATTTTTAAATTCACTACTTTGTGGAAATTAGTTAACAATTTATCTAAAGGGGAGTAAAAGTTAAATCTATTTGTGAGTATTAATTTTTTTTATCATACATCTAAAGTCTGATTTCACTTCTGATTTATAAGGAACAAGTCTAAAGTCTGAAGTCTGGCTCAGTAAGATTATTTATTTTTACAGCTGAAGTCTGAATCGATCAAATTAATGCAAAAATATAAAAGATAAATATTTTTTATAAAAGTATAAAGATAAATAGTTTTTGCTGACAAATATCTTTCATCCCCTAAAATATGAACCATTTAATAGAAGGCGGATTAAGATTAATAGGTATTAAGATATATGTTTACCACTTATCAAAGGATATTTAAGGTTTTTAAGCTCTTATTCTATAAATAAAATCAACGTTCTTAATACACAAACGTCTGAACGGATCAGACTTCAAAGATATTAAGAGATAATTTTGAAAAAAAAAAACAAGCAAACCCTTACTTTTACATTTCCAATGTATTATTTAACTTGATTTTAACGTAAAAATGTGCATATAAGATCAGACCTTATTTAATTTATAAGGTAATAATTAAGTCATTTTCAACTTATATGCTAACGAGTTAACACGTTATAATATAGGAATAAGTCATCTCTCGTCAACGTGCTAAAATATTTTTTGATGGGTCAAAAATAGGCCATGTTAACGACACTTTGAATCTTTGTTGAACCTTATTTTAACTCAAATAAAATTTTATTCTGATACATGGAGATGTTTATCCAAACTCTTATTCAGGAAACGTTTACCGGTAAGAGTCAACATTTTAACTTTACCCGGTAAGATTATAATTTATCAAAACGGCATCATATGCAACAATTTACATGGTAAGTACTTATCAGATAAGGCTCTCCATATTTATCATCGCTCATGCAAAGTAAGATTTCCGGCCCTTGTCATGTTCATTCAATAAGTTCTTATAGGATAAACATTTAGTAAAAAACCCTAAGTCTCTATTTTTTTTAACTGAAATTAATTAAAATAACCATTTTCACCACATGGTTTCACCTCTTAGCCATTTCTGTTTAGGAATTACTAAAATGTCACTCGGTCCGCAAATGGCAGGTCCGCACTTTGCGGAAAGGTCAAAGTGTAAAAAAAAAGTTTTTTGAATCAGGTCCTGATTGAATGTCAACACTAATGAGTTGCACTAAAATGCACTGGATGAATTCATTTTTAAAGCGCAATTCATGGATGAGCATAGAATGAAAAGTGATCAATAGTTCGCATCTCTTCTTATGTTTCTTACCATAACTTCCCTTTTCAAGAGGAAAACCACGAAAAAAACTGATGAAAAAGTATATGAATACGCATATTAAATTAACAAGAAAAATATGATTGTTTTTTTGTGTTTTTTATTTTGCTCGAATTTCTTTTATTTTTCGTATTTTTCCGAATAAAAAATGGGTGGGGGGATGATGTTTTTTAAATTAAGAAATATTGTTGTAACCGCTCATTTAATCACATTCATTAGATCATCTACTCTAAAGATTGATAATGTGTTTTCTAATTTTTCATTTATTAGCGTTTTCCCCTAAACCTCGATCTATCTATTTATCTATATATCTATCTATATATATATATATATATATATATATAGGCACACACACATGATATATATACATATAGGGATAGGTTCAAATAAAAAGCTGAATATTTTGCGAAAATGCGAGAAATTTCAATATCATATATGATTACACTCATAATACACAAACTTAATCATATATCATTAAACACACCCAAAAAAATGTAATCATATATGATATTAAAATTCCTGCAATTCTCACATAATGTTTAACTTATCAAATGATCATTCTCTTTCTTTATATACAGAAAACCTTATAATTTTACAATATATATATATATATATATAGAGAGAGAGAGAGAGAGAGGGGGGGGGGGGATAAAGGAGTTTAAAACCTTATAATTGTACAAACCTAAATCATAATCTTTAGTTTGTTTACTTTGAATTTTAGAGGTAGTTAAAGATGCAATTGAGAGTAAATTTATAAATTGATTTAATCCATGCTTGTTGATTGTCTACACATACAGTTGAGATCAGTTTATAGAGTTACATGGTTTATATATTTATTTATGATGTACATATTTATGAAAAAAGATTTTAATTTATTTATTATAATCAACGTTTTATATTAAAAAGCAACCGATATATTTATGAAACCATATATCCGTTAAACTAGATATATCATTGAGATTGGGGTTGCAATAGTGGTACAAATATGATAGGTAGTATAACAACCCCCCCC